ATATTGCGCGATGAAAAGATTGCACAACTAGACACTTGATTCAAAGATGTTGTAGAGATTGCAAAATTATCTTCAGTTGTTAAAAACATTGCATTGATTCAAAGTGTTTTGGAGCTTTTTTTTTAAGGCAGTCAGTATATATATCAAGATACGAAGAAACACACTTTATGTTTTTGCTTTAGCATCCTCTCTGAAAAGGATAAGTGAAGACAACACGTGTCGTCTTGACGTCATCGGAAAAAGGACTGATAAAACAAATGATTTACAAGGTGACGGTTTGGGGTCTGTTAAACATTCTTTATAAAATAAAGAAATTAAACAAGTCCGGTTTTATAAAACGTGAAACAATTTAAATGAACACAACTGCCTGATTTAAAACAAATCAATACACGAAAGAAATATATGATAGCAACTAATAAAATTTACACCCATCAAACACTGAAAGACATCCTGCTTACTTTGGATACACACATAAAGAAAATGGTAATGGGGTTAAAGATGCCCGGGAAAACCATATAATTGTACTTTTCTAGATTAACATATTTCAATTTTACACTGGATACTCTATACACAAATGGACGACAAAAGAGAGGATTGTTCGTTTTACTGTTGTTGACTCTTCTCTTTGGAAGGTGGTGGTTTTTTGTCCCATTCGTAGGGTGTGTACATTTCTAATCTCGTTCGATATATCCGTGTCTGTAGTGACGTTTTAAATTTCAATGAACGTAATCTTTGTATAACTGGTAAATTATTAAGTAAGACATTTCGTTACAACAAATGACTTTAAAAAAATATTCAATAGATACAAATATTTGATTTTTCCTGCAGAAATTTTATAACAAATTGGATACCACGTTCTACTTTTAACGAATATGTTCTTTATAGAGCCAGTTAGTATTTGTCTTTTTGCTATGGTTTTTGGATGCTTGTCGTCATTCTGATGAGTTAAGCCTTTTCCAACTGATTTTTATAACTTGTTGTTATGTTGTGCTTTTCGCCACTGTCTCAGGTGAGAGAGAGGCTTGATCTCTTACATGTAATTCTTTCATCATCTTAATTCCAAATGTATAATGTCGTTGTAAGAAACTAGCGCGTTTGTCTGTCGAAATTATTTGATAAATTGCAACAATATATAAATCTTCTACAAATACATTCAGCTTTAATACATTAGTATTCTGATTTGATTTATTAGCGATTACCTTGTTTAGCATATAAGGAAAATAAATATTAATAAGAATCATCAACAGCAGGCGAATTACGTAACGATTTAATATACTACATTTAATGATATTCGCTATTGCTTTCTGATACTGTTTTATTGCTCACCTGATACAGAAAAGAAAATCAGAGATTCCGAAATTTAATGTAGAATCTTTAATAAAGTGTTCCTGCTGCATTATTCTCCAATACCTACTGCAAAGATTCCAACGCTGTATGCTTTCAGATATACAAAAACGAAGGCTATTTGCATACTAAATAAGGTGTTATGGAAAATCACCAGATTTCTTTGGCATTCTATAAAAATCACACTTGACATTAACTTGAATTTCAAAATTCTAAATACTTTGAATATAATGATAAACAACTTTAAGATTAGTGCAAGTTCTTGATAGTTCAAAAACAAGCTAACATATTATATATCCAAATCATTTTGATGCTGATATTGAAAAAACGACACCTGAAATTAGCATGAGTGTTATGTATAAGCACATGTTTGAAAACTTTATACTACAATTTCTTATTTTCGTCACATGAAAACCACGAGTAGAATAATCACCGAAGTAATTGTCCAGTCAAAACTCCACAATAAAATTATATTCACGGCCTCATTTTTTGATTGATTGCTGTTTGCCTAACGCGTAGTTTCAATAATTTGTGTATAATTAGGACGATGACCTCGTTAAGGTAGATCATCACTGAATATCTGCATTTCGCCATCTTGGATTGCATTCTATAAAAATCACACTTGACATCAACCTGAATTTAAAAATTCTAAATACTTTGAATATAATGATAAACAACTTTAAGATTAGTGCAAGTCCTTGATAGTTCAAAAACAAGCTAACATATTATATATCCAAATCTTTTTGATACTGATATTGAAAAACGACACCTGAAATTAGCATGAGTGTTAGGTATAAGCACATGTTTGAAAACTTTATACTACAATTTCTTATTTTCGTCACATGAAAACCACGAGTAGAATAATCACCGAAGTAATTGTCCATTCAAAACTCCACAATAAAATTATATTCACGGCCTAATGTTTTGATTGATTGCTGTGTGCCTAACGCGTAGTTTCAATAATTTGTGTATAATTAGGACGATGACCTCGTTAAGGTAGATCATCACTGAATATCTGCATTTCGCCATCTTGGATTGTAAAATTGCAGTCACCAGTAGATGAATGTCAGTCTGAAACGGTCATTTTGATCTTAACATCATCTAAAAAATCTAAGTAATAAATTATATAATCAAGTTCTGTCTTTCTGTCAATGTTCAGACTTATCAGCTGTGGTAAATTCAGTACTGCTCAGTTCAGACAAATCGCTTGCAGTCAATTCAGCACTTTTCAGTAGCATTTAAGACAATTAAGTATGATGTTTGAGCGTACAGGTAAATATCAACTACTGAACAGTCAGAACATAGACTGAACAGATCTTAATTGACTTCAAACGAATTGTCTGAATAATACAAAATTTACCGCAGTGGATAAGTCTGAAAAATAACTGAAAGACTGATATTGACATATGTTATTTATTGTTCAGTCGTTTAAGAGTGATTCAGATCAAAATGACCGTTTCAGATCCATATTGGTTTACAGGTGAGTACGCTTGTAGCTATACAAAACGAATTCCTTAATAAAATATGTTTACACTAAAATCGCAATAAACAGTTGGTCCAGTTCTTTACTTACATCTTCACATTTTATGACAAAACTGCAATTTATTTGTAAGCCTGTTTATTTGAATAAACGAAAAGAAGTGATTTATTGTATTATTTAGACTGTCATATAAAGAAAGATAACTCTTATAGTAAAATGTTTATATAGGAATGATATAGAAATTTTATTATTTTACTTGCAGCAAGAAAACAAGTTTGGTGACACCAGTTTTTCTTCTGATTTTCTGAAAGCACATTATAAAAGCGATCTCCTCATATTTTTATCCAAATTCTGTCTGATATTTTTCTTTCTATTCACAAAAATGTGATTTCCATGGATAATCTATACAAAATTGTGCATTTTTTGCAACTTGTTGCTTGAAAATTAGCACGGTGACCCATACATGTACATGTTGTACTCGTTATTATAATTTTGAAAATCATGGCCAAATCTACATTTCGGCAAAGTATAAGAAAATTTAATCTGAGGAAAGATTTACTGATTATCCACCTTAAATCTTTTTCTGTATTGTAAACATAAATGACTGGTAAGAGATATAGGCTCCATGGAACCTCTATTTAATTTTACCAGTATATTAATTACAAGGTATCAGCACCACATGCCATCACTAGATCTTATTACATAACAATCCTTGTATTTTGATAGGATTAAAAACACAAAGCAAATAGGAAAACCACATGGAAATCGATATTGTATGATTTTATATAATATAAAGGAAGTTGGTGATATACCATTTGATATCATTGTTGTCGTGGAACTTTTTCACACTTTGTAAGTTGTTTTTCTTTATTTTATTAGCATGTTAATATAACCAATAATATTTTTCACCAACTGAATCAAATTCTGAATCAATTTACCAAAAAGCTCAGTGGTTGTCTAATGAATAATAATATTCTTTGTTATTTTTAGAGAATAAAGTGATTTTTCGAACTTTGATAGTTTTTGTTAAATTTATTCACATGATCATAGACTCAGGATGAATTAGAACTTCATATATTGTTTAGACACCTCTGTTTGTTGTTGTATATATGTTTTCCCAGCGTTTGTCTCGTTTGGGCCCTGTTTCATTGAAGTACATCAAACATATTCTGACACTCCATTTATTCACACATATTGTCGATTCTTTAAATTTGTGATTCGTCTGTGACAAAAGTCGCAGAATGCAAGACAGGAATGCAAATCCGGCGGCGGCCACGTTAACTATTTGTATAATTCAAAGCTTAATATTTCAGAAGGTAAGAAGACCTGGATGCGTCTTACCTTGTATATAGATAACTTATATTAGGAATTGTCTATAAAATGTTCATTGTACTTGACCTCATTTTCATGGTTCAGCAACTGCTTAAAAACTGTATATTTCATTTTGTAATGGGAATTATTACGAGGTCTAGGATAAACATATTTAATAGAAAAACAAAGGATATGGGGTATCCATCCATGACACAAAATCAATACATGTACAGCAAAAAAAAAAACCACAAAAAGCAAAGGAACATCGCTTTTATTGCTGTCCTTCATCTCAAACTCACAGTGAGGCCTTCAACACGGAGCAAAAAAAAAACAACTCTCACCTCACTGCAAGTTTAAGACGGCATATAGTAAGTATATATTGATCCTTGCAAGGTCTACATGACCGTCAGACAGTTTTCATTGTTTGCATCTAAATTAATTTTATAAGTGATTCCGTCAATTGTAAAAAAGAAAAGAAAGAAAGGATCTTAATATGAGATGAAATCATAAAGACCAAAATTGACTTAAAAAGAATATACAAATCAGTCATCTAAGGTCAACTTTACCTAAGGGAGTTGGAACCTTAGTTTATTACTAATTTCGTTATAAATTTATGAACGGGGATTTTTTAAATAAGTATAGGTTATAAATCATGTCCGTACCAAATCAATGACAACTGAGCAAATCGGTTAATTACAGAACAGCGACACTTTATTCAAATGTTATTCTTTTTTCTTTTAATACTTTTTCAACATCTGTAAGGACCTTAGGAATTCATACCTTGCATCTAAATAATTAACTTTATTTGTGATTCCGCCAGTGATTAAAAATTGATCTATAAACAAGTATAACAAAAATACCGAACACCAAGGAAAATCCAAAAAGTTCCATGAAATTGACAAAATGAAACGTTATCAACCAATGGTACGACTGGAAAACAACTCTCATATTCCTGACTTCGTACAGGCATTTTTCAAAGAAACTGATGGGTATACAGACATGAGACACAATCTCGTGAAATGCTAGTAAAAAATCAATACATCATCATAGAACAGCGACAAATTCATTTAAAAATATACTTTCCTTTCTCAATTCTTTATCGATATTTGGAAAATGTTTTGTTAGTGCAAGTACACCTACCTTATAGATTATTTTAGTGTATTTAATTTTTTTAAGACTTGGTGCAATTTAGTGCTTTGCATATTGTACAAAAATTAGTTTATTGTTGAAGAATTGTCTCAATGAAATGAGATAAAAAATATACCAAATAAAAAAGCAATCCATCGACACAAATGATTAAAAAAAAACATGTAGACATTGATCTTTATCCTCCATACATACATAGACAGTCTCGTCAAGGCTTTCCAATTTTCCGGTATCATTATACAATACATCAATGACCATCTTTAAAAATTAAGAACTTTCCTGTAATCAATAATTCATAACTGAAAGACATGCGAAAGATACCAAAGAAATATTTAAACTCATAAGTCGAAAACAAAATGACAATGCCATGGCAAAAATCGAAAACGACCAAAAGACAAACAATAATCTGCAAAACACAACACTGAACCAACCAAATAATAAAAACAACGGGGAAGATCACAGGTGCTCTGCAAAGGTAAGTAGAACCTGTTTCACATGTAATAACTAGTTACTTGATTAAAAATTGTATTAACCTAATTTACAGAAGCTTGATACGTAAAAATGATAAAAGTCATACTTCTTATTCTGCTAGGTAAGTTAGTATCTATGTTTCGTATCACATTTCTTATCGGAAGAAGGGGGTAAACAAATATCCCAAATCTATCAGAAAGATAGTTCATCAATGAGTCGATTGTTTGGACAACAAAACACATTAGAATAATAACAACCTTCCCTAAATCGCTAATGCTATGATGCAAGCAATTACATTTACAGCTTCACAAGAATAAATACAATAATAACTAGATTTGCAATTGCTAGCAATAACGGATGGTACCATAGTCTCCCCAATTCCACGGCAACGGCAGCCATTTTGAAAATTTCAAAGTCAAAGATCGCATCTACACATGCCAATTAACATTTTTGTAAAGTTTCATTAAGTTTGGAGCATTTTGAAATTTTGGACATTTTAGCTGTTTCCATGGTAACGGCGGCCATCTTGAAAATGCCATACCCCGATTGCAAATCTGCACATGCTGGTTAACATTATGGTATAGTTCCATTAACATTGGTTCATACAATTCAGAGATATAAGCTGGACAAAAAAAAGGAAGAAAAAAAAAATAGAAAAATAGAAAAGTAGAAAAACAATAAGTCACCCCAACTGCGTTGAAGGTGCCATAATTATTATGACATATGGTTGCAACTATCAAAACACACCTAAACTTCCCGATATTTCCTGTAATTAAGTAATGGCAGTCAGATAGATTCGAATTCTAATTACCAATAATATGTAGTTTTTCAATAATATGAAAATAACACTATAAGTTTGCTACTAACAACTTATGGATCCATAGAGGGTTGGTGAAATCTATAGAGGTGAGACCAAAATCCGAATCCCCGATTGATTTTCTAACCATCCATGGGTCCGTAGGGGGTCAGTAGCAAACCATATAAAGAATGTATCTTACACGGAACTTTTCCTGCCAAGTTTTGTATGAAAATAAACAATGAAATACAATAACAATAATAGTGGACGTGACGTCATGTTACCCAAATGAATTTAACTGACCACTTACGGATCAATAAGGGGTCACCACCTGATGGCGTTAAACCAATCACATCGTCACTGATTTACCCGAGGTGCGCTAATTAATAAATGTGTTTCGTTTGAAGCGCTTTTCTAGATATTCCTTCTTAAGGAGCGCTCATATCCCAAAAATTGAAAGCCAATGATGTATTTCTAACTTAACACGTGACGAGCTAACAAAAAGAAAACTGGCAAAATTTTACATAATAACCAATAGAAGGTTTAAAACTAACTGATTGTCTATTAAAAGTAGCCTGCTAGATCTATAGAGTAGCAAAATTGTTGTATTTTGTTTTATTATAGAATTGATAATATCCTTAAATTACATACATGAATATGAACTTTATTTATTCAAACATTACTATGTTAGTTGTGCCGAATACTGTAGCAGTTTGTGAAGATTGTTATAAACATTGTACGGATTTAGACTGTTCAGATGGACACTGTGAAAATGGCGGTTGTACTTGCACTTGTTGTGGTAGTTGTGATGCCCCTTCTTCTACACCATCTCCGAAAACTTGAATTATCGAAGACCTCTAGCATTCAATGTAAGTGAATACTAGCTATGCATTATATATTTTTATATTTTATTGCAAGACTAGAAAGCTTAAGATCAGCTAAAGTATCGATAAAGCCATAAAGTCTAATAAATTGCAGTATGTTAGACAACAACGTGAGTTATTAAAAAACTTGCTGCACTAAAACAGGAAAAAACTAAGAAACAAGATGTAGGATAAACGCCAGTGAGACAACATCCACAAAAAATTTCAAAACCATCTAGAAGTAACATGCAGTCTTGAATACAGACTTATCATGGAACGATACACACTTAAGATTTGACCTTAAGTAGACCTAAATCGCAAAAAGAAAGTTTAATGCATTTGTATTTGAAATTGGCAGACTGAGTATTTAATTACCGTAAATGAAAAAAAAAACACATAGTTATAGAAATTCGGAATTTTAGTGAGATTACTCAAATGAGTAAAGAATTGAAACAATGAGAACAAGTTCGTCCTTTTAATCGTTAACCATAAGAATAAAATGAGGAAAGAATTTTATACTTTTTTCTCGGCCTTTTATAAAAACATGAAAACAGTTTCATTTGAAGTAACATTTCTTATACATGTAATTACCTATCCCGAATAGAATACGCTGATGAACAAGTTATCTCCCCCTGCAAACCTTTGTTGTATCTCTAAAATATATTTATCTTAAGAATACATGCTAGATAAGTTGTTTTATAAGTCTTGTGTTTCCCCCAAAAAAATTATGTTTCTTTTGTTTCTAATGTTTGCAAATTTTTGTAATACCGACTGAAAGAAAAACAACATTTTCAAGATGGCGCCCAAAATGATGGCTAGTATGTACATATATCCTGACATGCTGGTCTTTTATTTTCCTTCGACTGGCTTCGAGTACATTTTTCTATGAACAGCAAAACTTTATTAACTATACAAATGGATATCAATGATGAGTCACCATATCTATAAAAAAGAACAAACTATACGACAATGGTAAGAGACCGACCATCCATCTTTTGTGTGGAGGTGTTCATGGTATTTTTTTCTCTCTCTCTTGGAGGAGGCAATATTATTTCGATTTTTTTCAAACTGTTTTTTAAACATACACGAACGATATTTCTTTAAACTCGATTATTCTCTAGTTTTCAATTTGGTTTGAATACAAATACTTTTCTTAAGAAATATTGAACCAACCAATTTATTTTAAGAAAATACATTCTTTGCAGATGTCACGTTTCTGCAGGTGCCATCGTAACAACGAGGTTGAGGAGATAATGGTTATGATATACACATTTTATTACACTACACTGTTAAACTATTTTTTGGATAGAGCAGGTTTGATTTTTTTAATTTGCGTTTTCTGTCTTTATTAAATGCACAACTATATAATTGTTTTCTCGGATCAGTGTTTGTCATATGTCTGTTTTGTTTTACTAACGTCATTCTGTCGGGCTGTTATTAGTTTTTTTTTTAAGAATTTTTCGACTGCTTTAAAATTCTTTATATATGGTCTCTTGACGAGTGTTGTCGCATTGACAATCATACCACATCTTCTTAATTTTACATTAACTCTTTTTTTTATATTTCAGACGCCCACAATTGAAACATTGGATAGACAAAGAAGACAATTTAACAAACACTGTTGAATATCTTAAATGTATCTATTTGTGCTTGATTATTGATGCTAGTATATTAAAAAAGATTTACAAAAACTCAGTGTATTAGACTTTTTGTAATATTTAATTACTAATGGTAACCAAGTTGTTTCAAATCATGATGCATTATAAAAAAAAAACTTGCTCGTCTTTTGAAAGACAGTTCAATGGTTTGGATACACCGGACAAGATTTATCAACGTATTCTAAAAAGAGTAACATGGCGGGTGTATCTAGTGGAACAGGAACTGCTCAGAGCATCAGCGCTCATCGGCGGTATTTAATGGGATTCTTGTTGGTCAATGCTTACTTTTTAGTGTAGTTTATGTGGACTATTTTTTAGTCGTTATCAGTTGATTATTTTACCTTCGGTTACGATAATTCTAATCGAAATTTTATGTCTTCAGTTTATGCTAGAACTGAAATTGTAAGATAAATGGTACATTTGTATAATAGAATTATATATAAGGGTTAAAACCCGTCAGCCTAGCATTTGTGAATTGATTGATTTTTGATTGTTAAACGCCCAGTGAAATATTTTTTATGTAAATTTAAGACTAGAACAACTTAAAAAATGACGAAATTGGTAGGTTCTGCAATGTAAATCGGGTGTATTTAAACGTGCACTGTACTCGTCGTTTAGTCTGACCATACCTACCGGACATGGCTGCACATAGCTCAACATACGCCCCATTGTAGCAACAGTTATACTGGCGGACGGGAGAAGTAAAACAATGACTATATTTCTATACCTCAGCCAACTCTTGGGATCCCATTAGAGAAGGGAAATATCTATGTTTTTAATGGTATCATGAACAAGCGATCTGGTTTGAAGATTGTCATTTAGCCATTCTATTGTCTGAAGTTTTTATACTTTCCGCCAGTATATATTATTTTTGGAAGACACGTTTTTCAACAAACAATCGGAATTCCTATGGAAACCAACTATGCTTCTCATCTTGCAGACTTGTTCCTTTATTCATATGATACTGATGTCATACAGGAGCTACTTAGGAAGAATGAAAAGAAGCTAGCATTATTTTTCAACTTAACTTTCCGCTATATAGATGATATTCTTTCACTAAATAATTCAAAGTTTGGTGACTATGATGAACGCATTTATCAGCTTCCCAATCTTAAACGTTTCATTTCTAAGCAGCGCCTGTATAGGAGCACATATAAAGGCCGTACGGTGACTTATATTTCACATTAAACAATTTATTGAAAGTTGTCAAACGTTTGAACAAATCGGTAAATATCCACGAAAGTATAAAAGTGAGTACTAGGTTACAATTTATGCAAGATTATTTATTACAATGGAATTATACATATAAGTCTTTCTTAAAACTAAAGGATGCATTAAAAGAAAATGAGTTAATCTATAGAAATCATTAGTAGACAGAGATAAACGAAAGAGTTTTGAGTTTTGTGAATCGTGGACGGACATCGGAGTTTTACGTTATGTTTTCTGTAGTTAATCTAAGCGAGTGACATCTAAAAAAAACCTCTGAATTAATGCATCCACTATCACACGCTATAATATATCATTCGAAAGCTTATTATCTGTATTTTTTTTAATTTTGTATGGTTGTAAAAAATCGCACTGTGCAATTTCCATCAAATCAAGGGTCAAGGTCAAGAACAAACATTCCAAATCTTTTGCAAAATTCTAAATAAAATGCAATTTTCTGGTTCTTTTATGTTAAACGTTTCAGAAGGAATATATGAAACTTATCAGAACATGATACAATTATTCGATATTAAACAAAAATTAAGAGGTTAGTAGCGCAATATTTACCAAAAATGGTAATTAAAAAAAAAACACCTCTAAAAAAAAAAGAAAAAAAAGCTCCAAAAGCAAAGACATATCTTGGAGGATCGACATTTTCAGACCTTTTATTACTAAAACAACACTCTGTTTTTAATGCCTTTAATGAGAACATATTTTACGTAAAACCACATCAAAGTACTAGTCAGTAGAGGCTCGTAGTAGTCCAAAAATGTATTTATCTTTCAGCAAGAGTTTTATGTATGTAAATTTATTTGATACAAGCAGTTTAAGTAATCAGCAACATTAAAAGTACTTCTTGTCAGAGTAGGCCTTCTTTTAAAAAATGTTCTCCATGCTAATTGGTTGAATTGATGGTGTACAATATTTTTTGTCCTTATTTTTCTTATATTTTACCAATTCAGGGGATCTAGTTATAACTAGAATTATTGCATATTAATAGAATTTTTGACCAAATTAATCTTTTTCCATTTGGTACGTTCGTTGCGTTTTTTTATGTACCTACCTTGGGAACGCTTAAACCCAAAATAACGAAAGCTAAGGATGCATAACTACTTGAATGCTTTATGAACAGAAACATAATAATTCACTTGATATCAACTTTGTTTTGGGGAGTTTGGACCTTAGTCTCTTTACAATTTCTAAATTCATCAACAGAAAATAAAAGAAAGGGAAGGTAAAGAATGAAAGTCAATGTAAATGCAACATGTCAATAATCACGTATTCTTATATTAAAGGATTCTTACTTAGAACAGGCATACAGATCATTACAATGTTTGTATGTTATAGTTTTAACATCTATCTGTTATCGACGAATATATGCATTTTAATAATAAACAATGCATGATGCAGTTGAAACAGCCAAGAAGACAAGTTTTCTTATTTGTATATTAAGTGAATTCTTTGAAATTTTACTTTGCTTTAATTTTTTTTTCTCAAAATGTTTTCATATTATTAAGCATTGTGTTTCTGCAACCTTATATTGATTAAATACAATGTTTTAACATAAGAAGTGCTAAAAAACTGTGTTTACATACATGTGAGTAGTATGATTTGGGGTCAGTCCGCCACCAAACGCCCAAAGACCACCACCGGAAATCACGTGACAGCTAATCCTCTTAACTATGACGTAATGTCCGGTCTATAATCTCTTAATCCTCTTAACTGCTACTTAACATCCGGGTTATAATCATCTTAACTGAAGTGGATTTATATCTTAATCCTCTTAACTTCTACTTAACATCCTGGTTATAATCCTCTTAACTGAAGTAGATTAATCTCTTAATCCTCTTAACTGGTACTTAACATCCTGGTTATAATCCTCATAACTGAAGTGAATTAATCTCGTAATCCTCTTAACTGCTACTTAACATCCTGGTTAAAATCCGGTGGTGGACAATTAACGGAATTGGTTTTAATCCCCTACCCTCCTACGTATGATCTTGTAAACGTGGCATACACGTTGACCTATCCACGTTTATATCCTGAAGTATAATCTGAATGCAAGCAGTTTATAAACTAAGAAAAACGTTTACTATATATCATACATCAACAGTATTTCCATAAGAACAAACAATATGAATCTCCAAAATTTTAATATGTATACACTTTTAAGAGAAAGAGAATTGACAGGAAAGATCAGACGATCGCGAAGAGGTCCAAAAAAGACTGCAAATTTGATAAGGAACAGGGTTGATAAACTTCATCATGAAGAACTATCTCGGTGTCCAGTAGAAACATGGCTTCTAAAAAACGGTTACATTGTTTGTATTCTATACAACTTTGAACACCATCCAGAGTTTATTGAAGATCTTTATTTTTGTGGTTGTTACTTTGATGCAGTGTTAGCAGACTACAAGTTTATGGATCCTGTCAACCACCAATAAAAAAAATCCATGTATATCATTTACATGTGTACAACGGTCCTTTTTAGGACCAACAAATCATCCAAAAAGAGTCTTTTATTGTTGTACATGATTAGTTCGATTTTGTTCTCCAAAGATTATGAAATATCTACACAAGGTTCACAACTTGTTTATTTTCGAAGAAAAGAAAACTAGACTATATATGTTATTACTTTCAATTGATAAACACACATTATTTCAACTAAAACAGCATTATGATAACAAAAGTTTTCAGATTGAAAATTGGAAATTACACCTTCTTAATGAAATTCTCCTATAAAATATAGATATATATTTTTGTGTATATGAAAAAAAAAATCATTTAAGTTGAATGGTTAGAGAGAATGAGCACAGAAATCCCTCAAACAAAGTGGTGTTTTTTCGGGCAGAATGTACCAAAAGCAGAGATCGTGTATTTTTGTCAGATGATAATAGTTTTCATAATTGTTATTGCAGCAGTTGTTAATTTGTCGACACAAAATGGAAGTATAGAACTATTGGTTAGTTTGTTAAGTGGTTGTACTGGTTACATTTTACCAAACCCCTCTATAAATAAAATATAAATGATATTCATATTAAAAGAAAGGAGGAAAACAGAGTATTTTAGTGACCCTCCTCCCCCTCACGTGACTGAAACGTTTACTATACGTTTCGTTATTTCTTTTTGAATCATCATTAAACAATTAATCCGCGATCACAACTATTAAAGCACACAATTATATCAATGAAACAGGCACAGGTGGTTAATTTATCTAAGGAGGTGTACGGTTGTGACTTTGGACATTTGTTCAGGAAACAGATTGAATGTTTGATTGGTGAAACGATAAAAGTGGTGGTGAAGAAAAGAGGAAAACATACCCGATTACAGCTTGTTATAAAAGGGAAAAAGATTCTGATCAGTAAAGAAAATTGGACAAAACTGTGTTATCTAAAGGAAAGCATCTTATTTCTTCCTTCATTTATAGACGAACACTGATAATATAATGGTGGACATTAAAGACGGTATAGGAAAAAGGCTACTTTCAACTATATTATTGTTTTCTTTTGCCGAATTTTTAGAAGAAATGGTGCAACAATTATCAAAGAAGTTTTGCCAGGGATGCAAAGTTGAACATGGATCACAACATAGACACGATTGTTTGATGGATAGTGAACTGGATAAACTTGAAAAACATTTTGAACAGGCGTATTGTGAATTTAAATACAGTCACATACTAGGAAAATACAGAGAAAATGTAAGAACATTGAACTTGGAAAATAGTGTCGTTTTAAACTTTTTCATTCTTTATGTGTTGTTCATGGATACAC